ACCGTGGTCTTGACTTCTGATTTAGTGCACGTTCAGTGTAGTTACCAAGCATTGGGTTCCATCCAGCGGAAAGATTCTGCTGAAGAGAGGCAACATGTTATTCCAACCAGGTAGCAGATCATCAAAAAGCTGTTTTGCACATTAACCGCTAATTCTCCTTGCAGCATGCAAAGAGAAAAAGAAAACTCAGAGAGACCAATTAGGGATCCATAGGAACTTAACGATGTGCTCATTCAGGACTGCACTTAGTGCACAAACTAATTCATGGCCATGCAGAGACACTACTCACTGTGATCGAAAAGTTTACAGTTGCGAAACAGTCTTCAAATGCACTCCGAGATAGATTGCTAATTCCCTTCCTTATCATCTCAGCTGACTAAAACAGAAACACAGCCCTTGAGTAATATCAGTTACATAAAACCATTGGTGATCACGCTGGCGTCATGAGAAGGGCATGAAGCTCCCCCAGCATGCCCCACTACCAAGACTTCCTGTGAAAGAAATGGGGAGAAACCAGAGCACCCTCCAAGCTGCTACCCCAGTTTCTGCCCACTAATCATTTACACAGTCATGCAGGAAAAGAGCAGGCCAGGAGAAGTCATGGATTCCAATGTCAGTACCTTCCTAGAAGATGCTGTGCAGAATCAGGAAGATTAGATGCCCTGAGCTGCAGTCCTAGCAGATTTCTTCATTCTTTGTTGCTTTGATAAATCATTTATTAGAACAGCCTTTTTACATAATATCTGGGGAAAGAAAAAAATAAAAAAAAAATCCCCCCCTTAAAATAGATTTATCACAAAATCCTGTCCTCCTACCAACCGTCTTCAGACCAGAACATATATTTCTCTGATTATTAATTAACTGATGCACAGAAATGGCTTCAAGCTTTTTAACCTCTCCCATTCTCTTTTGTCCTTCAAGAGCATAGATGACAATGCAGGGGTGGTGTTCAAAACACAGATAGCCTCCTGAGCAACTGTACTACTGTCATCATACTTTGAACCCTATAGTCATGGGCTCAAACTTTAAAGCCATTCAGAAAGCAAGCATTTAAGCTGTTTTCCTAGTACATACATTCTGTTCCTAGTCATACATGCTTAAATCTGGCATAGCACCATTAACACTGCTGACACTGACGTGGAGAAACAAAGATCTGCCAATAGTGTACATAACAACAACAAAAAAGTCATATAATCTACCAGTAGTTATTTGACCTGAAAAGAGAAGGGAATATGATATTGTTAGCACAGCTTGTCTGCCAATCTGGCTGTCCCTTAGCACTGTGACATCTCAACTCTCAGGATAAGCCATAGCTTTTCTTCTTTTTGGACTCCATCCAAATACGTTCAACAATACGAAATACAACTGCACATAAATAACAGGAAGGGGGAGAGCCGAATGCACCAACAATTTCTGAGCGTATCAAGCCCCCTTAAACTAAAACAGTGAAATGAAGATAGAGGAATTAGCTGCTCTGTCCCTAGGATGTGCTCACAAGGAAAACGTATAATTATTGGCATTCGCCCTCTTCCTTCTCTCTCCCCAGCCCCCCCACCCTCAGCAGCTAGCCAGTGGAGATTTTTGTATTACAGCAGTGGATATCAGGACAACAGAGAAGAAAAAAATAAACAATCCAAATCTGGTCCAGATCTGTAGGCAGCTAATACCAATAACATCAGAGTACAACTCCCAGTTTCATTATCTAGTCTAAGTGAAATATAGTGTGCAAATGCACTTCTGATCTCTCTTATTATTCCCATTTGTTAAAATGCTGTATTATTTACAGCTTTGCACAGAATGAGGAAATGGCATTAGAATTCCATCTCAAAAGCAAAGTGATGATAAAAACTAGTGTAGCTTTGTGAACTTACCTAAATGAAAGGTTCTTGCAGGTGTACAACTGTATCAGCATCCCAGCACCAGGGCTTATCACCCAACTAAAGGTCTAGTCTTGGCAAAAGTGGACAAATAGTAGATGTCCGTCATACTTGGCAGCATTTCTGGTGGCGTTTACATTCATTAGGAGTTTGGCTCAGCAATTAACATCGCTTTGGGGAGTGACTCACCCAGGCACTAGCCATTTAACAACATCTTACCTTGAGATGTCAGTCCCAACTATGGAACCAGGTAAATTCCACAATACAGGTACCTTGATTTAAGCTAGGTGCCTGTCTTCATTGCAGTCAGCACTGGTTCCTTGTACACAGCCAGTGGGATATGACTCATCTGAGCACAGCTAGGAGTGTCCTGAAAAAAGAGAGAAATCACATCCTACACTCCATTGACTATATTGTCTAGATCTCCACTGATTATAAGTTCCCAAGGTGGTTTTCTCACAAAAAGATACACATGTAAACACACTCTAGATGTGCACGTCTGGTCAGTAGGAGGCACATTGCAACAGGACCAGTAACAAGAGTAGAAATCAAAGTTCCCAGGCAAGCTAGGTTCTCTAAAGACATGATATAAGCAATTATCCAGCTGCAGCCAACTCAGCTTTGATATTTGGTAGCTGTGTATATGTTAGTAAAGTAAATATACCTGGCACTTCCCCCTACCACTGGGGCCAGCTGGCACAGAATGACCCACACCCAAACTATTAAATTCTCTTACTTTCCAGAATATCATGGCCACATCAAGCTAACTACTGAAAACAGCCTCTGTTCTGTGCTAATACTCAGACTTTGTCCAGGAATTGTTTGGAGTTAGGCACAAGCCAAAACTATGTCAAGGACCTTTCTAAAAATTCAGTGGTACAGATGATTGGGTTCCATTTTCTCTAACTTCCCTGGCACAGTTTTAGCTTATTGTTATAGATGTGGCTGATGGGTCTTGGACAGGAGTATTAGCAATCCAGAGGTGATCTTAAAAAGAACTGGCTTTCACTACATCATATATTCAAAGATGTGGGGTAGCTAGACAAATTTCAAGTTGAAGCTCATGTAAAGCATTTCCAAGGGAGCTTCCAGCAGTATTTAAAGACTGAGGCAACTCAGGCAAAATCAGGAGGTGTTTAGTTTGTTCCATTGCAGGGATCAAATCATAGGACATCATTGTTGACTGATAGATTATTCAAGTAGTCAAATGTAAACTGGGAACATTAGCAGGTGCTTACTGGCTAATAAGTGACTGCAAAAGCAGACCCATTGCCATTGAATAATACCCCAGCTCATTACTCACCATAACTCTCCAGTTTCCTGTCTAGAGATTGAAGACTGCTGTGAGGCTTGAGCAACACTTTTGCTCACATCTTCAGAGCTCCAGTGTTGGTACCTCCTCATCCAGCTGGTTGGCAGGAAAACTGCACAGACAGCCAGTTACTTGGAGCCTTGGCTTCAAGAGGAGAGGATGAAGAGGGATGCCTGTTTATTCCATGGGCCTCCCTCTTAAAACCACATCTGACATACTTAGTAAACTTGTCTCACTTTGAGGCTAAGACCATAGGTTTTATGACCTGTCATAAACTTTTACATCATTAGCCGAAGGCAGGGAGTACAGCTTTAATGCAAGAGTGAGAAGGTGTGTTTGCATGCATGTGTATGTGTGTCTTTTTCAAATGCAAGCCACCCTGTGTCATCTGGGAGACTTGCTTTCGAGGAGGAACTAGACCAAGGAGGAGGTGCTGCTGAATGCGTTCACAGTACAGCCCAAGGCTGTAAGCCATGCATGGTACTGTTGTCAGGAGCAGGTGTATACCTGGCAGCAAATGCTCAGCATTAGCTTTTTGAGGGGCACTCAAACTGTCTTTTCATTTCAGCCTTTGTTTGTTGAGAGGCACTGGATTCCTAGGGTTGATTTGTGCTGCCAAAGCTTTGCAGGGGAGGGAAAACAGATGGCTTTGTCTGGAGTGCAGACTGGTCCAGGCTAGTCTTACCCAGGGTTTGTGCTCAGAAATGTTTTTGGCACACGGACATTTCTGACAAAGGTAGCAGAGGCAATTCTTATACAATGTGATGGCCCCCTGCCTCACTAATATCTCAGACCCATGGTCACTCCAGCTAAAGTCACACACTGTCTGAGTAAATGAAGCCTTTTCCTGCAGCTAACATAAAAAAAAAGGAAAAAAAAAAAAAAACACCCACACCAAAAACTCTCCCCAAAGCTGAATGTATTAGATGCATTGCATCCTGTGTGGTTCTGACCTATCTTGGCTCTTCTGATCCCCACAGAGCAAGCCTTCCATTGAGACAAAGAATGTCATTTTAGGTGGCCTGTAGATACAATATTCAGTCACTATAGGTGCTTCTACTGCTGGATGCGCTCCATGGCTGATTGGATGATTTGCTGGCAAGGTATGAAACTACTTACGGAAACCATGTTAGGAAAGCACTAGTGTTCTTCTTTCTTAACTGCAGAGTCAACATAAAGTCTGCAGAAATTGCCAGTTAATAAAGCTCCTCATATTGCTCAAGTGGCCAACAATCAAACTATTCATGCCAGTGAATACCATAATGGAGAAGTTATTAAATTCACGTTTTACTTTTATTGCCATAATAGGGAAGTAGCAGTAGGTATATCAGGTTCCCTTCACCATGAATATTGGAAAGCAAAGGAAAAGTTATGCTGATGAGTGAAGGAGGGTCTAGAGATTTACCCCAGTCATGATGGAGGGAAAAAGAGCAAGACAGAGTGCCTTGAGACCATGCATCACATCTACTGACACCCAGCTCAAAGATGACCCAAATCTTGTGCGTGCTGGTACTGTGGCACCACCATTTGGATCCCTGTGCTTCACATAATCTTGTGTCCAAACTGGCACTCAGACCAGGCACCACGTCCTGGGACACTGATCTGTAACAACCCCTCCTACCCTTCGTCCCCCATTGGCAAGCATCCTCTCCTCACTCTCCTGCCCACCTGCCCACCCTCCTACCTGCTCACTCCCTCCCACCCACCACCCTTACCCCCTTCCCCATGTTCATTCTCAGTGGTCGTTGCATGTATGTACGTTGGCCCCCTTCAGCTCATTAAGCCCCCTGCCTTGCCTCATGTTTTGACAGGTTTTGTGAGTTTTGACAATCCTGCCAGTGCCCAAGCTGCTATCCAGGCTATGAATGGCTTCCAGATTGGCATGAAGAGGCTGAAGGTGCAGCTGAAGAGGCCAAAGGATGCTAATCGTCCCTACTGAAGAGTTATGGGAACCACTGGATACAAAGCACTAGCACAGGTAACTGCATGGGGAAGGGGGTGTCAGCTGTGGTTGTAGACTCTCTTTGTGTTGTAGACCCTCAAAAAGATTCAGCTCTGAGACTCTCTAGCTTCTGCCTTTTTCACTTAGGCCTCTGGCTAGATCCACACTGCACAAATATGCACCCACACATAAACCAGGAACTGTTTGTGTGTGCATCTCTTTAGAAAAAGTGGTGGAAGGATGCTTAATGAGGGATGAGCCAAGTTCCCCACCCCAGGGGCAACCTGCATCTCTAGAAAATCTTCCTGGTCACTAGAGGAGAGCCAGCAGCTGTCCTGATTCCCCTTGCTCAGCCAAACAGAATATTATTGGTGGCTGAAGAAAATCTGCAATTAAGAGATGGGACTGGGCTGCAGTTTTATCCCAGGTGACTGGACTGGGACAGTGTCTGTCTCAATAGATCTGTCTTGCAAATGTTTCAAAGCATTCTTCATTCTTCATAAACTATAGTCTGTATCCAATTTCATCCCAACATAATAACTTTATGTAAATATGTCTCCCTGACAACTAAATAACCCCTAATTTCTTTCTTCCCAAGCCCAAGAAATTAATAGAAGGATCCATGCTCACTTCTTGCTCAGTTACTGTTGACTTCTGTGTGTAGATAAAACCCAACCAAAGCCAAGGAAGCTTTGCTTGAGTGAGGACCTAGACAAATCTCAATGAGCGTCTCATTGTTAGACTCATGTACTTCATGTTGTCGGAAAGGAGCCAGCCTGGTGCTCCAAGGGAACTTCTAATACATGTAAGAGTGTCAAAAATATCAGAAGCAACAGCTTGTTTCATTGGAATCCCAGCCTATCACCAATAACAAAAATGGAGATTTTTCCAAAAATGGAAATATTTTCCACCACTGGCTGGCTTTTCCATTAGATAATTCTTTGAGAAACAGAAATATAAAACCATATGTGTTTGTTACAGAGACAGGAAGTCTCCCTGTTGCTAAAACTGTTCCACACCAGATATTTCCCAATAAACCCAGCACTCAGCGTGGCTCTAAGCTGCAACAAGCAGTTTGCACTCCCGAATTAGTGACAGAGAGACAGGTTGGGTGGCCTTTTCAGGCCATTACAGCCATAATGTCTAAGATTCAGTGATTTTGATTCAGGCCTTTTTTGACTCATCTAAGGTACATGCAGGAAATCCCTATCTTCAACCTTCCCAAAGAACTACTAAGTGTTCTAATTTTTCACTGGTATCTCTAATATCATTGAAAAATGTATTGTTCCAATCTTCAGAGCAGTATCCTTTCCACTGAGAATTAAGGAATGGGATCAAAATGTCTTTGAAAGAGGTACTGCACTGAAGACAATATGAAGTGGATTAAGAAACCTTTCAATAAACATGTTAGGTGCATATGCAACATAAAGCCTTCATAGCTTAGACCCTCCTTTATATGTAACTGTATGAAGATAACTGTCAATGCACTTTTAAATACCCCTCTTCAAATACCTCTTTTCTTTTCCTTGTTTATGACAAGGCCCCTTGGAAGCTTGAAACCAAAATATGTTTCCATATCCAAATGCTTTTTTCTTCATCACACTGGCTTTTTACTGCAGGTTTTGTTGGGGGAGAGTGGGCAATGCATGCATGAATTTTGTTAAAGCAGGGACTGTCTTTGTCAGGAAGATTTTTCAATAACAACCTGCAAAGGGATCGAAGAACACAAGTGTCTCCCTAGTTTGGCACCAAGCAATAGCTTTATATCATAGCATAGCTGTGATCACTGAGGATATGTTTGCTTCTTATGGTCATGTAACAAAGTGCAGGGCCATAGACACCTGTGTTGTTAAGGATTCACTGGTATGAGTCTATGGTGTTTTCATTATCATGGGTCATTTAGAAGTGCTCTGCCACTACCTTTTCACAATCAGGATGATGTTGAGGTCTCAGCCTGTTTTCTATACAAAGATTACTCAGCAGTAGGACTAAGATTTGTTGTTTGGGGTTTTTTTTCCCCAAAAATTATATAAAAAGGAATCAGCTGGTAAAATGGCAATAAAATTCCGTCTCTCTCTCTCTTAGAGCATTTTTTTTCTTTCCTTTGCTTCTGCAAAGCAGGAGAACAGTCTTGGAATTGTTGCATCTAAATAGGAAGCCCTTTAGCCATCCTGGCTTTAGCTTTGATTTTAATGCTCTGCTGTCCAGCAAAATCAGTTCAGTTGTTACCACCAGATCACTTCCATCCTCTGCTTATAGAAGCCTTTATTGAGGTACAGACAGTCCCTATCAAAATGGAGTAAGTGGAGTAAATACAGCTCAGAGGCCCTTATTCTCTTGTAGGCTCCCACCTTGGTGAGCCCATTGCAGGAGCTGAAGATGAACCTGCCTTTTAGCGGGAGAGATTTCTCGACAAAAAAAATTGTGTGTGTGGTTTTTTGCACCTAACAAAAGGAATTGGCCAAGTGCCTGTGCTCCCAGGAGGACACTGAAGGAGTGTATCCCAGGGGAGGATCAGATTTAGCACAAGGGAGTACCATGACAGGTTAGACTGGAGAGGACACCTGGTGACAGCAAGGATATCCAGAAGCTCAGAAGGGCTTAGATCCAGCTCTTTCTTCAGCTCCTCTGCTTTCCAGTGCTCAGAAGCATCCATACCAGCACCCTAGAAGCAGACAGAGGATTTTTAGCCATGATGGCCACAAGTCGGCTTCCAGCCAGGGCTGCGCAATAGCAATCAGCACAGGGCTAAGCCCTCAGTAATAAGCCTTACTTAGAGATAGGTCAGTTGTTCTTGGCTCAGCACGGTGTCATTGTGCCTCATGGCTGGTTTGATGTGCAACTTCCAGTCAGCCTCCAAAATACCACTCGAATTCTCTGACTTGCCTACTCAGTAGACAGTGTTGTTACTGCAACAAGAAGTTTCCTAAAAAACAGTAAAACAGAAGCCAGCTAGGCCCATGGGTACAGCACAGATAGCTATTGCAAAGCTTGAGAGCAGGCAGCTCGCTTAACTGACAAAAACACAATAACTCCTGTATGTTTCTATCTAGTTTTACTTTGGTCACAGCTCTTCAGGGCCCTAAATTCCAATTTGAAGCATGTGCATAACCATATTGACATCAGGGCAATTACTCATGTGCTTCAAGAGGATATTCAAGAAACTTCTTAATTGGGATTTTTTCTAAGGAAGAGCTTTGTTTTATTGAACTCCTTTCCAAAAATAAGAAGCTGCCAACAAGAAACACAAGCAGCACCCAGTTTGATGTAATCCACCAGAGTGTTTCTTCCTAACCAAGAAAGATCTTCACTCAATTTTAATTCTGGATGCACTTTTTTTTTAACTTATAGATCTCCCTTTTGGGGCACAAGCAGTTTAGGCCACCGTGATTTGAAGTCCTTTGTTTTCCTTGCAAGTTCTCTAAAGTTGTTGTCAAACACTGAAAGGGTCTCTGATGTGGCAGATAAGCCCACAAGCTGTGGCAAGCAAAGCCCTGAAGAATTCAGATGGCAAAATGTTTCTAAAATGGCTGCCTCTGTTCTCTTTTTTCTCTATAATTAAGGAGGTGGTTGTAGCAAAAAAAAAAAGGGGGGGGGGGGGACAGGGAGAAAGCAAAAGTAAGAGAAGAGGATCATTTGAGGCAACTCTGCCAAAATCAATATATTCTATTACAAATCCCCCCTGAGGACTAGAAAACAAGGATTCAGAGGCACTTCATGTGTCTTTCAGATAGTAAGTGCACAAAATAATGAAGAAAAAAACACCCTGGAAGCCAGAGCTCCCTTGGGTGGCCATTCCCAGGAGCCATCAAGTATCCTGTGAAACAGCAAAGTTGCAGGCAGAACTGGCAGTGCCTGGGGGTGCACTGTGAGCCCTCTGCATGGCCAGCACCATGGAGGACTGCTAGGGCAGGCAGAAAGACCAGCTCCTCTGATGCTTCCTGTGGGAGCAGAAGTGACCAGTGGGATTCCAGCCCTCTGCACTGGGTTTTGAAGCTCATTCCCCAGTGCCCCATCCATGCTAAGTCAGTAGTAGCCATGACAAGACAATATTGCCTAGAAAAACCCATAATTCACAACTCTTCCAGCATTAAGGACTTAACAGAGCAACACAGAAGCATCCAGCTGGTAGATCAATAAAAGACATTGTACAGAAAAGCAGTGAAAATCTTGTCCATTCCCCTTCTGTGGCTTCATTGCAGTGACTGATCATTAGCAAAGTGTTATTTACCACCTCAGATAGATACTCTGCTGTTTTGTTTCAAGCTAAAGATGGAGAGCCATTTGGGTGCAACTAACCTGGAGCACTGACTGGCATGAAACAGAGTGAGACAAAGTGAGTGTGAGTGAGACAAACTGAGTGAGGTGAAATTGAAGCAGAAGAGTGAAAAAAAAAGGTCAACAGTAAGATTTTTTTTTCAGCTGTACTCCTAAGAGTAGTGGCAAAAGAATGCATTGTCTAGGCACCCTGCTTCTCCAAAATGCCAAGGGAAATAACATAGGCCAAAGTTTGAATGCAAAAAAAAAGATGCTCAGGTCCTCCTTCACAGCTTCTTGAACATGTGCTGATGTGTGGTGTCTTGTAGAAGATGCGAGATGCTTGTTTTTGCAGCTGGCTGGATTAGGTGATATTTTTTTCCCAGAGGAAATATCTTTTTTTTTTTTTTTTCATTAGAATGTATAGGTTATCAAGCTGGAAAACTTTGCATTTTCCTTTTCCTGTGCTCTGATAAGACGAAAAAACCAAAACATCTCATTTTAAAGCAAGCAGACATTACCAGCCAAAAATAAAACAAACAAGCAAAATTCCAAATGTCTATAAACAAAAAGATGTGAATGTAAAATTTCTGGCTGTCTCTTGGCATTTCAGATTGCTTCAATGCAAAGACTAATGAAAATGTATTTTTGGTTGCTTATACCTCTCAGATAGGCTTCTATTACCTCCAGTGAAAGGCTATTCTGCAGTTACATTGATCTCACTGTTGTCTATTAGGCTG